CTTTGTCATTTAATAATAACAGATTGTCGCCTACATAAAGTATGCTCAAAAATTTTGTTAATAGGGAAGAAAGTGCACAACACCGTCAATAAAAAAATGATCAAAAATCAACGGGATTTTGCAGAAATTTCAAATCTGTACATTATTGTATTAAAATTTAGTAGGCTACAAAGCTGCATACCCAATAAGTTTCTAGAAATTCTGAATAAAAAGTTGAAAATTGTCAATGACATTTTTTGAATTTTCCTGAATTGTGTCCAAGTCTTAAACTTTGTTTTCTATGGTTTATGTTACAGAATCTAGTATATATATTTTTAAATTTACGAAAAAAATGTATCACGTAAAACATTGGGAATATTGTAAAACATAAATGTTTGCTATTTACGTGAGTGCCTCATTATGTATGAATTTATAATTGAAGAATACAAAAATCGCGTCAAAATGCCTTTATGATAAATTGTAGTTAAAATACTTTAACCATTTAGGACCATTTTCTCAAATAGGTTTTAAATTTTATCTGCCCTTTAAACTCAAATTTCGCTCTGAAAATATGTGTTTAATCAAGAAATGAACACATACCCATTTGCCAAAACTGAGTGTTTCATCGAGGAAAGAATACCTTTGAAATCCTTCATTATCATTCAGCTCAGTGTACTCCATTTTTCTTCGTTCTTAACATTCAGCTCAGCGTATACTTTTTTCAGTGTGTATATTTCTTTTGCATATTTATTCATATCGTGAATGACCCTATGCTTTTTTGCGCATGTCAAAGAATATTGTGCACTTCACTCATTCTGACCAAATTGAGCATTTGAGAACACTCAAAAAGTTGCACATTTCGAAAAGCGTGTCGATAGTGCTTTGAGTAGAATTTTTGTCATAAATTTTATCGCATTTTTATGGGTTTCATAAACTGATAATTTATTTTTCTGATTTGATTACATATGATTCTTGCATGGATTTTTTATTATTATTTTTATTTAAAGATGCATCTTTAAATTACTTCGATATTTAGCAATTTTGGTTAAAGATTTTGGGTTTAGATTTCTTTGATTTGTAAACAAACATCTTCACACATTTGTGTATAATATCTTCAATCAATTAATTCCACGGCGTTCTCAGGAATTGGCCATCGCCCAGAACACACTATGGCGAATTTGCGTAAGGATCTCGGCCTATGTTCTCATCTCACCTTATTGGGCAACCCTTTTCAATATATAATACATAAATGTTTTTAAATGATTTTAAATACATGATTAAAAAAAGAAAACGTCGAAACCGAGCAGTCCTCGAAGAAAATTTGACAAGAATCCTTAAAAGAATGAAACTGATCTTAAAAGTTAACGCAATAAAAAAGACCTCAAAGCTCTACGTATTCGGCAAAAAATTGTCAGCTTTATTATTGGAAATATTTGTAATTGCAGTATTTAGAAAACAAAATGCCAATTTATAAAATATGTAAATCATAGGGAAAGATAGTGGGAATTCACCCCAAACATATGCATACAATAAATATGCACGAGAATTTATAGAGACAATTTGTTCTGTAGCAATAAAATTAAGAATTAGTACACTCATATTACGCATGCAGATAACTACGTACATTAGGGTGTTCCAAAGAAAAAACTAAAGTCGGAATAGTAATGCTTTCGCCTACCAGGATTGTTCCATATCGAAAAAAATATATCGGTTTTTTATTTTGTGCTTTATATGGGAAAAGCAACTTTTCGCAGAAACGATATAGAATTTTTTTAAATTAATATTTTTCGATCTGAAAACCCTGGTTCTCTTCAAGAGACTTAAAATAATAATACCAATTGTTTATTTAATCATTTTTTATAGCAACTATTTTTTATACGTCCCCCCGAAACCCCAAAAATGCCATGGGGAGAACCATATAAAATCGCTAGTGTTAAATAATGGTAAAATAAACAATTGGGTATTATTATTGGAAGTCTCCAGAAGAGAAACAGTGCTTTCCGATAAAAAATATTGATTTTCAAGAATTCTATACCATTTCTACAAAAATTTTTATTTTTCCCATACAAAATACATCGAATACTTTGAGCGTTTTTAGCGACCTCCAAATTATTATTTTTATTTCAAAATGCAAAACCAAGGGTGTATATAATTTTTTTGGTATAGAACAATCCTTGCGGGTGAGGATATTAAAACTCCAACTTTAATTTCTTTTTTTACCACCCTAATGTACATATTTTTATGCGAAAAAATAAACAAATTAGAGTAAAATTTAAAATCATATCGTACTCTCACGCACTTCGCTTTGCGCCACTTGCATTTCTAGCGCCGCCAAAGTAATGTCACTCAACTTATGCGCTTATTGACTGAGCGCTGGCAATGCGCCGGTCATGCTTGGAAGCGCTCAAGACGCTCACATGGGGGAAATGCCTCCCTTCGACGCTTTGCGACCGTATGAAAATACCGCACACCCTTGTCATTTTACTCACTACTAGAGTTTAGTTAGTTGAATGGCAGGCGACAACGTGTGTGCTTAACAGATGATTAACTGAATGGCTGGCTAACTTAAAAAAAATATATATTTAATAAAACAAAATATCTATATTAAATATAAAGAAAATATAAGTTTAAAAAATAAAATAAACACCAATTAATTTATATAAAGTAGTGTAATTCATGAAAGCAAACGCAAATTGGGGCAAAACGCAACCGTTCAGACTACTTTGCAACAAATTGAAAAAAATCGATTTTTTGTGCGTAAGCATTCGCATGTGTACACAAGTGAGCGAAATTCGTGGCGGTGGCGCAAGTTAAAAATATACTACATCATAAATTTGCTATTAAAACAAAGTGAATTGCATTTCAACAAATTCAAAATATTTAAGGCCGCACACTTAAAAAAAAAAATTAGAAAAAAATCTAAACTTCGAAAACGCTTGCAATGAATACGAAAAGCGAGTGCGCCATCCGCCCGTTGTTGGCAGTATCCAGCCGGGGGAGCAACAGTGAAAGCGAAAGCAAAAACAACAATTGTAGCAGCAAAGCCGTCAGCAATAGCAGGAAGCCGTTAGATACCCCCGCCGCCACTATGCCGCTGCTGGATCAGCGCTTCTCGCAGCCAGTACAGGGCGTGTTTCCGCAGAAGCGGTGAGTGTTGTGTGATTTACATACTAGAGACGTTTTTAATAGCAAAAATATTTTTCTTTCCCGGTCGCTGCAGGCAGGATGTGCTGAAATGGTACGGCTGGGGCTACAAAGACTCGCAGTTCTACGCGGATAATGGCGTCATTGGCTTCAAGGGTGACAAGTGCGTATTGAGTATCAAGTAGTCTACATACATACATTTACGTATGCCTGCTTTTAATCTAATTACGTACGTATATGCATGTATGTTTGTATATATATAATGTTCCTGCTGCAGCAGGGAGTTGAAACCAGTATTAGCCAGCGTTTAGTGGCTGCAATTGTCAGCGCGAGTTTGGCGGCAATATTGGACACTTCCTGTGACGTCGCTTGGCAAGCTTTGTGTGTAGAATATAGCACTGACAGTGAATCATTGAACGATGTGCACAAAAGCGCGCTTACTCCTGCTTTATTTTTGAATTCATACATACATATATACAAACGTCAATTAAATTTCAGGCCGCCACAACACCAAAAGCATCAAAAAACAAAACTAAAAACCCTCTACTTTGCTCCACAGGTACCCGCTGGAAGGCTGCACCCTACCCTACTTCACCGACTGGGTTCACAGTAAATTCAACTTGCGCGTCAGCAATAAAACTGCATACCCAAAAATGCCTACCGAATTCCCGGCACCCACCGTAAATGCGTCCTTCTTGCGCGACCTGGAAGCGACCAAGCTCGCGTGCTCGCGCTCTGGCGAAGATCGGCTGATACGTTGTCACGGCCAGACGCTGCACGATATCTACCTCCTTTGGCACAATGAGTTCAAACGCATACCCGACATTGTCGTCTGGCCGCGCAGCCATGAGGATGTTGTGCAGCTGGTCGCGCTGGCGCATAACCACAATGTCGTTGTTATACCCTACGGCGGCGGCACTTCGGTCTCTGGTTCCATAACTTGCCCGCAGGGGGAGACACGCATGATCTGCGTGTTGGATACTTCGCAGATGAATCGGATGCTGTGGCTGAATAAAGCTAACTTGACTGTATGCTTTGAGGCGGGTATTGTGGGGCAAGACTTGGAGCGCGAACTGCGCAAACTCGGCTTGACTGTCGGCCATGAACCGGACAGTTATGAGTTCTCGACGCTTGGCGGCTGGGTGGCTACGCGCGCCTCGGGTATGAAGAAGAACGTCTATGGGAATATAGAGGATTTGGTGGTGCGCATGCGCATGGTTACCGCTACTGGCGGTGTGCTGGAGCGCGAATGTATGGCACCACGCGTATCGTGTGGCCCAGACTTCAACCACGTCGTCATGGGCTCTGAGGGCACACTTGGTGTAGTCACCGAGGTGGTGCTGAAGGTGCGGCCACTGCCACCGGTCAAGCGCTACGGATCGCTGGCCTTTCCCGATTTCGATAGCGGCGTACAATTTATGCGCGAAGTAGCGCGTCGACGTTGTCAACCGGCGTCGGTGCGGTTAATGGACAACGAACAGTTCATTTTGGGACAAACGCTGAAGCCAGTCAAAGGCTGGCTCGCCAATTTTTTCGATGCTTTGAAGAAGGCGTATGTTACGGTGTGGAAGGGACTGGACTTGACGAAGATGTGTGCGGCCACATTGCTGTTTGAGGGCGAAGCGGAGGATGTGCGACGTCAGGAGGCGCTCATTTACGAAATTGCAAAGCAGTTCAAAGGATTTCCGGCAGGTGGTCAGAACGGCGAACGTGGCTACATACTGACTTTTGTTATTGCGTACATAAGGGTGAGTAATGAAAGAAGCAGGAACAATAGCGAAAGGAAAACACAATAAATGTTTACGAATTTGAATGCTATTCATTTGTTTTGTTAACAGGATTTCGCACTAAACCAGCAAATTGTTGCCGAGTCCTTTGAGACATCTGTGCCCTGGGATCGCTGCAGCGCGCTATGTCGAAATGTGAAGCGGCGCGTGGAAGTTGTGAGTAGCGGCAGTCGGCAGAAAAGTATAGCGAATTGCAATAGCTGCATTCTTTTTCGCTCATACTTAATTTCCATCGCCTTTAATTTATAATTTATGCTTTCTCTCTTTTCCAGGAATGTCACTCTCGCGGCATTAGGGACTTCCTTATATCCTGTCGCGTTACACAAACGTACGATGTGGGCGCGTGCGTTTACTTCTATTTCGGCTTCAAGCACACTGGCATCGCCGATCCTGTCGCAACATTCGAAGCGATCGAAACCAGTGCTCGCGACGAGATACTCGCATCGGGCGGTTCGCTCTCGCATCATCATGGCGTTGGTAAAATACGCAGCAAATGGTATGAGAAAACCGTGTCAAGCACGGGCAGTGAGCTGTATTTGGCGGCGAAAAGGCAGTTAGATCCCAAGAATATTTTCGCTGCGGGCAATCTGCTAACCGAGCAAAAATGGCAAGAGGAGAGCCAAAGGAGTGGCGAAGCAGTGACGCCACAAGATACCACCGTTGCGCCGAATTCATTGGTCAAGGCGAAACTTTAATGCATTAGTTGGAAATTGGCTTAAGCGAATGTAGCGGAATTGATTGAAAGTGTGTCCTTTTTTACTTTTGTAATAGCGCAAGGTTATGTTTGTTGTTATGTAACAAGAACTTAATTTTTTTACTTAGAATTTTTTTTTTATCACTTGCCATATTTTCTGTACACAATAGTATTACGAGCGGTTTAGTATAGATACATATGTATGTATAACTTAGAAGTTATTTGTTCTGTTAATATTATTGTTTCTTAATTGAATAAGAATTAAATTGTTTAACAAAAAATATTTCGTTATTATAATGATCCAAATACATAATGGTTTTTGCTTTTTGTAAGGTTTGAAACTTTTTTGAAATTTTATATGTATTGAAAACAATAAAGAAAAAAATTAAACCTTGACCAGAGTACTTTCTAAACCGTTAAAAAAAAGAAACATAAAAGACTTATGACGAATAAAACTTCCGTTATTCACGCACCACGGTTTCCATAAAGCACTTATACCACCACAGGACTTAGTGAAATAAACATTAGACTGGTTCAAAAAAATTGACTATGAAAAAATTTACCTGTCAAAAGCACAGCCCTTAATATTACGATTTAGAGGCCGTTCCCATAAGAATTGAGGACAAACTTTTTCTCAACTCTGAAATTTTACAACTCGTTTCTAAGTCAACGTATCCTAATTTGGAGTTGTAGGAAATTGAAGGCTGGAAAAAAACGTCTTAAGGCAGTGTCACATGATTGGTACACTTGTACAGATTTGTACATATTTTATATTGGGTTACGGGTACAAAATAAAAAATTGGAACGATTTTTTTTTGTAGTCAGACGATTGGTACAATACAGCCAACTTCTATTCAAAAATTTCAACAAATTGATTTTCGTGGTTGGTATATGGAAAAATATTTGTGCATGCACATTATTGAGATACAATTTGCACCAAATTTTGGGCAAATTCCCAATCGTGTGACACCGCCTTTATGATTTCTCCATAAATTCACTCCCCCAAAAGATATTCAAAATTAGGTTCGAACATACATATGTATGTTTGTTTAAAAATTTTACGTTTATAAAATGTTTGGCAACATGTTAAAACTTATCACTAAATGTCATACATTTTTTTGAAAATTTTTTAACCACTTCTGAAACTCAAAGCTTAATCAAGTGTGTTTCACAATTATACGCCACCCACATATTGACATGTTTTGGCTTAGTTTTTTTATTATTTAATTTTAATAATTTTGTTTTTTATTAAAAGACTGTTTATTTTTTAATAGAAAATTTATAAATCGGAGCTCCAAAATTCGTGCAATATTAAAAAAATCGAAAAACTTTCGTAAAAAACTTGTCCGAACTCGGCGCTATGTACGCCCATAGTCTGCTTCGTGAAGCAAGCAAAAAGACCGCCGCGATGCCTTTTTTATCTCAGGCTTGAGTTTTGCACACAAGGGCTGTGCCAATTCAGTCGTCAGGGACAAGTACTTAGAACGAAGTAGACGAAATACATAGGACGTCGCTCCTGGCCTTATCGGGAGTCATCCCAATATTCCACCCGTATATTCAAGCTCGAAACGATAAAATCCATGCGTATGTCAGCCTTACAAAGGCGTTTCTTTCGATAACCGCTAAACGACTGTAGCGGATTTTGAGCCACACTATTCCATAAGTAGATGAACTCCTTAGTTAACAACAGCAATTTGGGTCATTCGTAACCAAACAGAGGCTGCCAGAGGGCCCCAGAAACCATTCGACATTGAGCACAAGTCAAGCTTCAAAGCAACTGAAAACACGAGTGAATAACTTGGCAAACTTTAAACGACTGACTACATTTGTGGTTGGAAAGTTTCTTATTTGTACATACTTATTTATGTGTATATGCACGTCAGTTGAAAGCCACATAGCGCCCGCACAAACCAGCCACCAACGCCACTGTCAATGCAACCGCCAACGCCACCGCAGCAACTAAACGTCACATCAATCAGCGTTGATCAGTTGAAAGAATTTATTGCTAAGCATTTTTTATCGTTGAAATATTTATGCATAAAGTGGTTAGTGCACACTCCTATGCACATTAGGGTGGTAAAAAAAAAAAAAATATATATATATATATGTGAAAAACCTACAGTCAAAATTTTAAAGCTCTCTCCTACTTGGATTGATCTACATCGAAAAAATAGACTCCTGTTTTTTTTTTTTAATTTCGAAAAATAAATTTAGAAGTCGCACAAGGCGCTCAAAGTTTTCCTTGTATTTTATAATGACAAAAATTTTTCGTAGAAATTGTAAAGAATTCTTGAAAACCAATATTTTTCGATCGGAAAGTTCTGTTTCGGGAATTCCAATAATAATACCCAATTGTTTATTTATCAATTTTTAATATTAGATGGACAACTTTGATCGCTTTGAGCAACCTCTAAATATTTTTTGATTTCAAAATATTTATATTTTATTTCGTATAGAGCATTCCTAGGGGTGAGAGCATTAAATTCCTACTTTGCTCTTTTTCGACCACCCTTATGTACATACATATGTACATGCAACATTTGTGGATTGTATATGTATCTGCTCTGATTTTTGTTGCCAGTGCGCAAGTTATTTCAAATTCATAGAAATCTACATACTACGTGGCAGAAACTTGCAGCTGCAACAATGTTGTGACGCGTTTGCGTTCTGCGGTTGCGCAGCTGGCAGAAGGTGGCGAAGCACACCAACGAACTCAACAAAGTAGAAACAAAAGTCAAGAACTTAATTGAAATACTTATGCGCGTATATTGACAATATTTCCATGCCTAGCGTTCATATGTCAAGTTGTCAACTTCGTTAGCGCGCAACACCGCGTTAACGCTATGCTACGGCGGCGCATAATCTGAAATGTCAATGCAGGAATGAAGCGCTGGAGCATGCGCTTCGCATAGATACAACTTCCACTAACTAGGAGTAAGAAATTGTAAATTTAGCTTGCGGCTGATACATATGTACATATATATGTACATGGCTATGATGCGCGTGCGATAACAGCTCCAAGAGTGTCACTGTGTTGCAAATGCAATCGAGAGGTGCATACGAGTCAGCGTCAGCGTTAACGTCAGCATCAGATTGGCGTGTGGATAGGCTAATGAATGAATGTTGTCGACGCCAAGTGTTGTCGGTCGGGTGTTGTTGATGATGATGATGATTTATTTAATAAAATGTTGCAAATGTGTTGTTGATGCATTGACATTCATGCGAATGGAGTGATAATGAAATCGGCTTGTTTGACGATTTAAAGTGGCATTAAGATGAAAATGCTTTCAAAATGTGTGTTGCGAAGAGATTGGAACCTTCATACATACACATATAAATAGCAGACAGGAAAAAGAACGAGGCTCTGCAAACATTCTGGCGAATGCGCTGGGCGATGATGTACCATTTGTTGTATGCATTTTGTCCACAATGTAGAGAATAAAGGTGGCGCCCATCTCGGGCCGTTGTTCCGATCTTATTGAATTTGACTTGTTTACGTTTTTCTTGCAAAATTTCTTCTTCTTCCTGCATTGTTGCTCGCGTTTTGACGTTTCTCTCTCGCAACTGCTCTAGTGTGACCTCACACAAAAATTTTTCTCAATAATCCTCTCTGGATTTTATCATACTTGCATTAAGTCTGATTTGTAGGTTGATTGCCGGAATTATAATCGTATAAAATTCATTATATTTAAAGACTTCCGCCAAAATTTTATTTATTAAAATTTATTTTTTTGAAACGCGGCCCAAGAAAAGCCCAAAATCCCATCTGGCGATAGAAGGGTTTAAGCTTAAAGGACCTGCATAAAATGTTTGAACTATATTTTATAGGTCCTCCAAAATCCCTAGGAAATGCAATGGGGGACCAATAAAAAATCTTTACTATTAAAAAATGGTTAAATAAACAATTGGAGATTAATATTGGATATCTCCTGAAGAGAACCACAGTTTTTCGATCGAAAAATATTGATTTTCAAGAAATTTATAGAATTTTATACAATTTCTGCAAAAGTTGTTTTTCCCCATATAAAATATGTATGTGGAAAACTTTGAGCGCTGTGAGCACTGCCTAATTATTTTTTGATTTCAAAATAAAAAAATAGGGGTCTCTTTTTTTTCGATTCAGAATAATCCTAGCGGGTGGCGGCATTAAAATTCCGATTTTATTGTTTTTGGAGCACTCTAATTTACATATATGGTTTGGGAAAACATACCACTAAATTGTAACCTATCGTAACCAATATTGGGTCCCCGAACACTTCTAATTCATTGCGTATGGAATTCTTGTTTATGAGCATACATATGCGCATTCATTATTCATTTGCTGTGCTGCGTGCAACATGTTGCATTTGTTGCATATTTCACCAGATTAATGTCTGCACAATTGCTCTTTCACCTGTACACAATCAAGGAGTAACACCAAAGAGGAAGTGCAATGAATTTGACAAAGGCTTCAGAATACACAACAGCGGTATTGTATTGGTTCATTGGGGGCGATAAGCAGAAGAGGTAGAAGAAGCAGTGGTAAAGGCAATATCAGCTTAAGTCTAACGAAGCAGTAACGGTATGTTAACTTGGTTAACGACATTGGCAAGCAACAGCAGCAACAACGTCGGCCAACAAGACGCTGATACAGCCGAAGATACTCAACGGGAGGCTGCTGCCGCATTTCATTTATAAACTTCTGCTGCTACTGCTTGGCAATTATAATGACTACCGAAATGTTAAACAAAAAAGATAACACAAAACTATAAGCCATTCAAAAACAAAAATGTGCACAAATAATGGTTAGTTAGTGCAGATAATAATAATAAAGAAACAATTCGCATGTTGCGGCCGAACGCTCAACCATCTTTTTTGCTGTGCGTGAGTGCGAATGTATTGCCAGATGTGCTTACGTTTATGTATGGAGTAGCGCATTCAATCCCGAAGCATTTTAACCATCCCGGGTTTCGGGATGACAGAAATTTTTTATCCCATGATGCCAGTATTTTTCGGTATTTCGCCTTTATCAAAATATTTGCATTTTGCAAAGTAAAATGAAGAACAACTCTGCCACACTCTAAAAGTTTCTTGTGTTTTCAATTGCAACCAGATATTTCCTTCTTACACAGTTCTTTCAAAAAATTATTTAGCAAGGAAAGTCATTCAGGCAGATTCTGAAATTCACATCCGAGTTTTATGACTCAAGTTGACATTGAAACCACATTTTGGTATTCTGTATTTCTCGTTTTTCATGTTAAATGCACGTAAATTTATTTTATCGTTTTCAATTTCACTTTCACTCGGACTCATCTAACTTGCCTAATTGTGCAAATAAATCAGTAAAAATCTCGGAA